CGCACCCGCCATCCATATTTCCCTAGCTCAAGTCTGATCTGCAGAAGCGGCTTCAGGATGACCCAAGCTTCAGCCCCCAGCGGTTCCCCAATGCCCAACGCGCCTTTGTGGAGGACCCCTAGGCTCCACCTCCTCCCACGGAGCTCCGTCCCCTGCCTGCTCCTCCCCCACCTGGGGACTGAGTCCCATTCAATAAAGCCATGGGCCCAGATGGCCTCCTGCCCAGACACCTGGGTCCTCTCTATACTGGGAGGGGAGAGGGGGGCTGGTTAGGGTTGGAGCAGGGGTGGGACTGGGAGCCTGGATGCCTGGGTTCTCTTCCCGGGTCCTGAGGGTGCTGCTGTAACCCATACCTGCCAAGCTAGCGCGGTTCCTAGTGCTCTCAGTAGGCATCCGCCAAGGAAACCAGCTTCCTCACTTCAAGCCCCCAGCCCAAATTTGGGATGTTTCTAGGAGAAATAAGGTGCATGTAGTACACCAGAAAATACGGTACTTGAGTAAGAAGGTGGCCACAGAGGTCAGGCAGGCTCCTTTGCCCATTGGCATTGTGTTTCAATGCTTCTATTCTAGTGAAGAAAGTAGCCTTCCTGCTTGAACTGTGGATCCTGGAGTGGGGCTGCTTTGTGGGGGAAGTGTATATCATAGGGGAGAAAATATGGTAACTGCAGGAAGGCAGAACCCTGCCATCGTGGCAGCCTCCCGCTGTCTCCACGCTTCTGCTCCAGCAAAGAAAACGGCCTTTTCTTTTTCCCTGCACCCTAACTTTTCAGGTGCTTTCGTGGGGAATGAGGCGTGTGTTATATGCTAGAAAATATGGTAACCAAACAGGAAGGTAGCCACAGAGGCCAATCTACCTCAACAGCCTGCATAGTGTCTCCATGCTTCTATTTCAGTGAAGAAAAAAGGCTTTCCAGCTTGGGCTCTGAATCGTAATTTTGTGGGGTGGGTGCAAGGGCTAATATCTTGTAATTATCTTGTAGGTAATAAAAGAGATCAAAGCTCCAAAAACCTGTGCTGAAGCCCCCAGTAAATTGGTTTCTTATTCCTGATTCCTTTATTGAAAGCTAATTTATTCCCAATTAGAGTTTGTTATTCACGAATTACACATCCTAGAGAATTTCATTGGCTAGGCATATTTAATAATATATAAAATACCCTGCATGAAGTACAGAACCCTAAATGAAGGTCAGATTAGAATGGGATTATGGAGCAAAATACTTCTTGGGCCACCCCAGACTTCCCATGCCACTGGGGGCCCGTCCCAAAGATCCCTGACTGCAGTCCAGCCTAGCTGTGTCAGGCTGCCACCTAACAGCCCTTCATGCCCACTGTACTAAGTATAGGGGCTAGAATAAGGACCTTCTGGGGGGGGGGGCTGGGATTGCAGCTGGAAATCCTTCCTGGGGCAGCCCACAACATACCTCTGTGCCACAAGTGTGTGTGTGTGTGTGTGTGGGGTGGGGGGGGGTGCTGTCAATTGGCACCCTGGCACAGCCAAACCATGATTTAGGCCAGGCAAGATGAGTCAGGTGTCCAGGACAGTTCCCTGGTGCCAGAGCAACCATGGTGTGGGGTGGCCCAAGAAGGATTTCCAGCCGTAATCCCAGCCCCAAAACCAGAGCCTTATTCAAACCACTGTAGAGTACAGTGGGCATGAAAGTCTGTCACTTGGCAGCCTGGCACAAAAGAAAAAAAAGTGCTTTGGGCTGGGCAGGACTGCACTCGGGTCTTTGGGACAGTCCCCCGGTGGCACCAACCTGTAGCCTGGGGTGGCCCAAAAAGTATTTTGCCCCATAATCCCATCCCCTTCTGATCTTCATTTAGGGCTTTGTACTTGATACAGAATATTATTGCCTTTATTAATTAGCAAATATGCATTGCTAATGGAATTCGCTTTAGACTAAACCATGAATAGTTTATTCCCAGGTCCTTTTCCAAAGCTAATCTCACCCAATAAAAGTGTTAAATTCAGCCTTGGGTTAAGTGTTAGTGAAGGGAAGGCCACATGGAGGTCCCCGGGCCCCAGCCCAGCAGCCGCTGGAGGAGCCGGGAGCCAATCCCATGGCAGGGGGCTGGGGGCAGAAGCTGTTTGTGACAAACTCTGTCGCTCCCGGGGCTGGGGGATGCTGGTCCCATTGGGGCAGCTGTGGGGGGGCAGTGTTGATGCTGGAGGGGTTTTTTTCCTTTCCATTGTCCTGGCCTTCTCCTCTGTCTGTCAACCTGCTTAGCCCAGCTTACTGCTACTGTGACCTAAAGCAGGTGGAGAGGGAGTGAACCTAGTCTCTATTGTTTTAAGCACTGACCTCATGGCATGGGGGCAGAGGCTTGAGCCATGTCACACCCTTAGGTGACTGTGATGCTTTTTAAATTGGTTGGTTGGCATCCAGCCACACCTGCCTTTGATTGGGACATGAAGGGTTACTGAAGGGTCGGAGGAGGGAGGAGACTTCACAGAACTCAGCCACACGCACAGAGGTGCTGCCTGCGCAGAAAGCTCAGTCAGCCTCCAGGTGAGACTTGCGAGTAACTTACCTGAAACTTTTTTTTCCCCATAGCTGGCCGGGTCAGAAGGGACCTGAGCAGATCATCACATCCGACCCCCTGCCAAGGGCAGGAATGGATGCTGGGGTCAAATGACCCTGGCCAGGTGTTCATCCAGCCTCCTTTTGAAGACCCCCAGGGTAGGAGCCAGCACCACTTCCCTTGGAAGTTGGTTCCAGATCCTAGCCGCCCTGACAGTGAAGTAGCACCTCCTGATACTTATCTAGGGATATAGCTTACTGTCATGTAGAAGCATAACAAAAGGCTATCAAGCCATACTGTTTGCTCTGGCTTTTGACACTTCTCTAACCCATGCCCTTCCCCAAGCCTACCCTCTTTAACCAATAAAGTTCTCCACTCTAACAAGTTTCGTGGTAGTTGCTGGGGGAGGGATTGGGTAAACCTTTTTGCTCCCTTCACTTGACTAAGGGAGACTACTTTCTGTGCTTCAGGCTAATAGAAGCACTCCACGAGGCCAAGGTCTACAGGGCCTGTACATGCCGGGCGGCACAGGGCCTAGAGAAGGGCCTGAGTCTGGGTGGTGGCAGCAGTTACCCCAGGCTTACAGGTGTGCTTCAGGAAGGGGGTCAGCCGATTTGAGGCACCCCAGGGGAGGCACCTGGAGCTTGGTAGCTGGTTGGGCACAGCGAGGTGGGAGGCACCACCTACTGGCCCTCCACAGTGCCCATTATGCTCTTGGGCCCCTGGGGCTCAGGCCTGTCCCTAGCAAAGGAACCAGAGCTTAAGGGGTCTGCCAGGAAGCCCCCTCAGTTCAAGCCCAAGACCATTGTCCCAGCCCACAGGCAGGTAGGGGCCTGCACCCAGTAGATGGAGGGGAGTAGCCCCATTGCCCACCACCCAGCTGGTGCCCTTCACTTCTGACCCACAGCCCTTTTTTTGTCCCCCCACAACCCTGCCGGTGCCCCTCACTCCTCCATTGCCCACGGATGAAGGTGCTGAAGCAGCAGCAGTGCATGATGAAGAACCAGGAGGCAGCTTGCTGGTTTCATTGGAAGACAGAGTATGTGCAGGGCCTGGAGGCCAAGAACAAGCGCCTTGGCCAGGAGAATGACGCGCCAGTTGCTGTGCTCCTGAAGAATGCCATCCTCCACCATGGGAATGACGTCCTCCACCACCAAAGCAATTGGTTTGAAGGCACCACATATCTCATATCCCCTCAGCCCAGATACACCAGCCAGAGCCCCTACCTCCTTCCAGCTGTGTGTTCCTTTAGGGATGTTCTGAATGCAGAGGGGATGGTAGAAGGAGCTTTGCCTCCTGAGTTCACTCATAGCCCCAAGGCTGTGGAAAACTAGTCCATGATAAAAAGTGTGCCAGTAAAAAAATAAAAAAAAGACACAAACACGCCTCCTGCCATGCCCTGGGACTTGGTTCAATATTCATTCTCAGAGGCAGGCATCAATGACCAAACACAGCAGGGTTGAACCCAGGTGTCCAGGAGCTTGGCCAGCCTGCACCCTACTCCACATTACCTGCTGCTCCCTTGAGTTGCCACTACGGGGCAGCAGCTGCACAGGACTCAGGAGTCTGGGATACAGGCCTGGTCACTAGCCTGTGTGTCCTGACCCCTAACAGAATCACAGACCATGAGGGCTGGAAGGGACCTCAGGAGGTCACATCTAGTCCAACCCCCTGCTCAAAGCAGGATGAGGCCCAACTACATCATCCCAGCCAAAGCTTTGTCTACCCAGGCGTTAAAAAACCTCAAGGATGGAGAGTCTGCTACCTCTCTGGGTAACCTGTCCCAGTATTTTACTACCTTCCTAGTGAGAAAGTTCTTCCTAATATCCAACCTCAACTTCCCTTGGCACAACTTGAGCCCATTGCTCCATGTTCTGTCATCTGCCCCCACTGAGAACAGTCCAGCTCCATCCTCTTCAGACCACCCTTCAGGGAGGCAAAGGCTGCTATTCAATCCCCCCTCAGTCTTCTCTTCTTTAGTCTAAAGTAAACCCAGCTCCCTTAGTCTTTCCTCACAAGTCATGTCCCCCAGCCAACTCACCATTTTTGTTGCCCTACACTAGACTCTCTGTAGTAGGGGGCCCAAAACTCAACACAGTACTCTAGATGTGGCCTCACCAGTGCTGAATAAAAGGGAATAATCACTTCCCTTGACCTGGCAACACTCCTACAAATGCATCCCAGGATGCCCTTAGCCTTCTTGGCAACAAGGGCACACTGCTGGCTTATATTCAGCCTACTGTCCACTGTCAGCCCCAGGTCCTTTTCTGCAAAGCTACTGCCTAGCTAGTGAGCCCCCAGCCTGTGGCGGCGCAGGGGATGGTTGTGTCCCAAGTGCAGGACTTCACCCTTTGTCCTTGTTGAAACTCATGAGATTCCTTTGGCCCAATCCTCTAATTTGTTGCAGTCTCTCCAAATCCTAACCCTACCCTCCAGCGTATCTACTACTCCTCCTCAGCTTGGTGTCATCTGCAACCTTGCTGAGGGTGCACTCTGTGCCATCTTCTGATCTTCATCACTGATGAAGACATTGAACAAAAGCACCCCCAAGACTGAGCCCTGGAGCACACCACTTAGTACCAGCAGTAACCAGCACTTGATACCAGCTGCCAACTAGACATCAAGCCATTGATTACTACCTGCTGAGCCCAATGATCCATTCAGTTTTCTATCCACCGTAGTCCATTCATTCAGCCCTTACTCCCTTTAAGAGCTTGCCTGCAAAAATATTGTGAAGGAGATTGTATCAAAAGTCTTGCTGAAGTCAAGTAATTAGACTCTCTCTATGCCTGAAGATGGGTGTTTGTGCCTGAAAGCTTGCAAAGAACAATTTTTCTAACTATCTAGTTGGTCTAATAAAAAGATAACACATTTATCCAAAGAACCTTATCTAAATGTCCTTAGACCAACATGGCTGCAACCAACACCCAAGAAACAGATATCAAATTTTGTTGTTCAAAATGGAAACTTCACAACATGAAGAAGAAAGAAGCCAAAACTCACCAGCCACATACATTTTCTAAGCCTATGCAAGAAACACATCATAATCTCTAAAGGACTGAACATCTACAACCCTCTGAATAGTACACAGAACTCCAAATACTTCACAATGATGCAGGAGAACGTCAGAAAAACTTCAAAATCATCTCGTTCACATAATCTACTCCAACCGATACACCCCCCCAGGGAATTATGCAGATAAAAATTCATAAATTATGCAAAATTACTTTTTGGGTTTTCTTTTACAAACTAAATATAACGCTATTTGAGCATTGTATGGATGTATATGCAGGTACTTTGTATGGCTGGGAGGGATCTGTGTATGTGTGGGGGCATGGGTGTGTGGTGTTTGTGGGTAGGTGTGGGGTTGTGAAGGGATGCAAGGGGTGTGTGTGTGTGTGTGTGTGGGGATTGTAAAGGGGCGTGGGTTTTTTTCAGGGTTGTGAAGGGATGCGAGGTGTGCATGTAGGGTTTATGGGGGTATTGTAAAGGGATATGTGGGGGGAGGGGGAGTGTGGGTAGGTGTGGGGGGTGCATGTGGGGTCTGTAGGGTGATTGTAAAGGGGTGTGGGTGTGTGTGGCTGGTGGGCAGTTTGTGAAGGCATGTGCCATTGGGCCTGGTGGAGGCAGGCAGGGCTTTCACCCAGCAAAGAGACTGCTCCAGAGAGAGATGGCACTTTTGAAAGAGCAGCTTGGATACCACGTGAAGAACTGCCAATGAATCGCACCCCACTAGACATATCACTTCTCCCTGGAACTTGCACAGAAAATCCTCAAAGTGCAACCCAGACTAGAAGACGACTCAATTCTTAAAGATATCTTCCCAGAAACATCCATCCTAGCCTTTAAACAAGCACTGAACCTCACTAACCTCATCACCAGGGTTCCTGGTTTTCTCGGGGAAAAAAAAAATCCCCAATGTTCAGATTAAAAGTAACCTGAAATCCCCATTTTTCCATAATCAAACCAAAACACCACTATATTTATCTATCTATCTATCTAGGATATAGCTATGATATGGTGGCGTTTCATTTTGATCATGGAAAAATGGGAATTTTAAGTTACTTTTTTTAGATCCAAAAATTCAGGATTTCTTTAAATCAGAGAAAACCAGGATCCCTGCTCATCACCAGAAGCAAACTTCCTATGGCCCAAAGCACACCGAATGGATCCAGACCATGCTGGGACAGGAAATGTAAAACCTGCCAACACCTCTCTCCACACCACCCTCCCCACCCCCACAAGAACACCACCCTACAACAACCGTCTCTGTTCCTGTATCCTACACCCGAACCTCCAGAAATGTGCTCCCTCATCCACCCATGAAGAAGTTGGTGGATTGTCCCTAAAAACTCCTGGATTAGAACAGAGCTGGGGGGGCAGGGGGAGCCCGGACCCCTGGGTCCCGGGGCCCCCCCCCCCCCCCCACCACCAACACAAAACCCTCCACCAACCGGCTTCATTTTTTAAACCTTTTATTAATTTTTTTCAACAGTTTTTTTTCCGTTTCTTTTTTTTTTTTTTTTTATAACCAAACC